TTATCTTTTTCCTCTAAATTTTGTGAATTTTCTCTCCAATTTATTCTCCATGTTTCTGAATCAGTTTTCTACAGTATTATGAATCTTTGCTGCTTTCTAAGTGGATTACTTATTTATTTTTAGAGACAGGGGTTTGCTGTGTCACCCAGGCTAAAGTATAGTGGCTTAGTCACAGCTCACTATAACCTCAAACTCCTGTGCTCAAGTGACACTCCCACTTCATCCTCCTGAGTAGCCATCATGCCTGGCTCTGTTTTTTTTTTTTTGTTTTGTTTCGTTTTTTGTTTGTTTGTTTGTTTTTAGAGATGCAGTTTTGCAATGTTGTCAAGGCTGATCTTGAACTCCTAGCCTCAAGTGATTTTCCTGCCTTGGCCACCCAAGTGCTGGGATTACAAGTGTGAACCACCACACCCAGCCCTTCCAAAGAGGATTTTAATTGCGCTACAGAGTTTTCCTCCTTGTTTTTCCAACTCTTTCTTTTATGCATCGCCCTTTTTGTTTCAGCTCAGCTTCATCTCCCTTACTGGCTTTCTTCTCCTAGTTCATAAAGGCTGTTATTTTAATCTTTTTAGTCTGCCAGGCCCATTTGATCACCTATTGTTTATGGCTGTTTTTAAGCTACAGTGACAAAGATGAATATTTGTGACAGCAACCTTATGGTCCTCCATGCCTAAAGTATTCACTGTTTGGTCCTTTGAAGAAGAAAAAAAATTGCAGCTCCATGTACTGGTGCAATGGCTGGATTCCCATCTCAGATTTAAGGAGAATGGCCAGGGAAGGTACATAGCTCCGTCTTCAGCTTCTGGTTCCTACCAACCTTTCCATGGATTTCCTTCTGCTCTGTGGAGGTAGTGCCCTTCCTTTCTCTGCATTGCCCGATTTTCTGATTCTCTGCAATGATTGAGATAGAAATACAAGGTGAGATCTCTGCTGTACCACTGTCCTTCTGTTCCTTACCGGTCCTGAAACTTCCCTTCCTGGAGGAGGGATCATCCCCACTGCCCCCGCTCACTTCCTGCTCATTTGTTCCCTGGTCCTTGTTTCTCTGTCCCCCTCCCTTTTTTCAGGACCTTTCTGCTCGTTAGACAAAGAGCTGTGTCCTAAGATCAAATCTAAACAGGTTTTGCTTATTCCACCGCCATCTGCCTTCAATTAATAGAGATTGCTCCCAGATCCCATCATTGGGTCATCATCATTTTTGTTTTTGGCATAGTGTGAACTTTCAGGTTTTCTCATTGTCTTTATGGCTATTTTGGAACAAAACAAGGAGAAGCCACATGAGAGGCTGCCAAGTAGATGCCAGTTTGAAGAAGGAGTCAAAGCTTTATCTTAAAGCTGTGGTTTGTCCATCTTGAAGCACTCTCTGTGGCTTTGTGTGTACCATAAAGAGAGTACGTACAGTACCATTTTCCTTATTCGGGGGCCACTTGCCTGGTGACTTCAGCTATCTGGAATACAACCTAAACAAAGAGTCCACAAGCAGCCAAATAGCTGTCACAGTGTCCAGAAGGTTATTCACTTTACCCAAGGGAGAACATTTCAGCCTCTCCTTCCAAGCCTAGTTACCTGTATTTCACATACAATTCTAGCAAGCTTGGTCTTTGTTTCCCTAGCAAACCCAAAGGGCATAGGGGACATTTTGCAACAAGCACACTGATCTGACAAGAATTTCCAGCTGACAGAAAGGAAAGGCACCAAAAAAAAAAAAAAAAAAAAAGGCAAACACAACTCCAAATGCTCAGAGCCTGATGTCATTTTCTGTAAGGACAAGCAGCCTGAGGTTCTCTCTGTGAGCATTCTCCAGTTTGAGTCAACAGCCACCTATCTGGATCTTTCCTCTGCCACACTGGCTGCTCTGTACAAATCACGGGTGCAGAGACTGTCCCCGTCTCTCACAATTGGTTCAGACTATGTTTTCTGACTCTGTTTGTACTTTAGAACCATCTGGGGAGCATTAAATATTCAGACACGTAAGCCACTCCCTAAACTAAGGAAATCACAATGTCCTGGGAATAGGACCCAGGCATCGTGATCCCACTGCATAGCCAGGACTGGGACCAGGAGGTTAAGAGCAGAGGTTCGGCAGCCGGACTGCCTCATTGGGCACATGACCTTGAGCTGGTGAGTCACCAATGTCTCTGTGCCTTCAATTCTCATCTATAAAATGGGGCCTGATTGAAGGGCCTAGAAGAGTTCATCAACCATGAGAACAGTGCCCAGTGCCTCATTAGTATCGTGGGAGTAGCTGCCATTAGTGAGGTACAGACTTGATATTCATGGCGATGACGGTGATTTGTCAAGCAGGGCCCGGGAGTGTGACCTAATTAGGCAGCGATGGATGTCACACATTCTAGGGCAGTCTTTGTCCCAGGTAGACTCATGGCTCTGGAGAGGAGAGCTGTGGAGGTTTCTAGGCTGGGACAATAATGCTGGAGGGAGGGGACAGGGGCAGGCTGTCCCAGGACTCATCTGCCTTCCTCCCGCTCACCTGGGGTGGGCCTTACCTTGGGCAAGCTGTTCTGGAACCTTTCTGAGCCCTCAGTTCTAAGCTAGGCAAGGCAGTTCCTCCCTCAAAGCATCCTTAGAGGCTCAGAAGAGCTGACGTGCTCAAAGGCACCCTCTCTGCCCCAGCCAGTGCTACCTACCTCAAGGCTGAGATGGAGGGAATGTGCCTTGGGCCATGAGGAGGCAGGTGAAAAGGATTTCCTCCTGATCAGAAATGATGGTAGGGATGATGGCTTTTGTCAAAAAAAAAGACAAAAAATATGAATCATAATGATAATAAGAAGGCAAGGAGAGTGGATTCCAGGCCGCCCCTACAAGAACGCCATTCAGCACCACTTGCATTCCAGTTCGCTTCCCTAAGCAGAGAAAGCAGGAAGGGATTTCAGCCAGCTCCTGCGGGACCACCAGGACTTAGGCACGCCCTGGGTTCAGCCCCAGCCGTGGCTTTACTGGGAGCGTCATCTGTCCCTGAGCTGGCAAAGATGTGGCCCAGAGCAGCTGTTCCCCTTGGGGAGGTGCGGCCACAGTGCTGACGGTGGGGATGGTGCCGCGGACTTGCATGTTTGAGCTGCCGTCACTCTCATCCCAGGCTCTCCAGCTTGGCCACAGTAGAGTGAGGGCCACTGTCTGAACAGCCCAATCCCTGTACTCCAAAGAATCCCTACTCCAGTAACCAAGCAACTGTCCAGATGGCAGGAGGGATGGGTACTGTGGCCACCAGTGCCGCGGAACAGGGCCATCATGAAGGGGTTCCGAGGGCTGAAGTCACAGGGAGCAGGAAGCAGGACTGTTGTTCTCCCATTTCCTGAGACTGGTTCCTAACTGGGGGCCCCAAGACGCTAGCACAGGAAGCAGTGGGAGGCTACCAAGGCAGTGGGATGGAGCTGTGTCAGCTTTCATTGAGGCGCCAGTCAGTGTATCCCAGGATAAGACCTTGAAGGAGGCAGTGGCCTTCACAGCCCAGAGGCCAGCTCTGGTGAGGTCTCTCTGGACACTCCCTGCAGCTCTACGCCCTGGCTCGGGGTGCAGGCGGCACTTGGACACCTGCTTTCCTGCCTGGGCTTCTCCCTGTGCTCCCACACAAATCACTCCTCCCCTACCTTGACCTTGGTTTTCCCCTCTGCAGGATTGGGGACTGCCACCTGCCCCCGGAGCAGCTGCCCATGTGTGTGCACATGTGTGTCGCATCTTTCCCTTCCTGGTCCCCTTTTCCTAATCCCTCACCGGGACACACGCACCCAGCCAACTTCCACCAACCCATGCCACCACTGCTTTTAGAACAGGCTGGGCCCCCTGCAGACCTCCCCCAACAAGCCCCACATACACACCGCCAGCCTGGCTGGTCCCCCAGGCAGTATGGGAACCACTAAAATCCAGGGCATTCCTTACCCCTGGCTCTGAGCTCACCTCTGCTCCCACTGAGGGGGAATCTGTCAGAATATCGCCTCACCAAGGGTGCAGGGATCTTGGCGTCTCAGGCCAGCCTTGGCAATAGCTTCTCAGGGTGCACTGGGCAGGCGGCTTACCCTCCTGGAGTTTCCGTTTTCTTGTCTGCAGAATGGGAATGATACCCACACCTCAAAGAAGGGTTGTGAGAATGGAATGAGATCCTGCCTGCTGAGTGGCGGGGGCAGGGCAGACTGGGGGAGATTGGCTGGGCCTCTGGGATGGGCTGTGCCGTCATGTGAAGCTGTCACACACAGACTTAGCGAAGGAATTGTGTCTCTGTGTTCAAAGAACAGCGATTGCTGGCAGGGAAAGGCTATGTTTGGGCTGCAGTGGGCAGCTGCATTTGGGGGTTGATGCAGGCCCACAGGCTGGCAGGCCCTGGTGCCCTGCACATCCTGCCTGGCTCTCGGTTAGGCCCTGGCATCCCCCAGTGATGCCCAGTGGAGATGGCCCAGCAGCCCTGCCTCTCAGCAGTACGACCCATTAGAACTGAACTCGTCTTCGTGGGGCATTTTATTTGCACACTCCAGTAGAGTGGACACCAAAGGGGTTTTCTAATGCTTCATGGGCTGCTAATTTCCCCTGTGACCTCTTTTGTTGAGGCCTGACCCCAGCTAGAGGCTCCACGCCATGAAAGCCAGCGCCTGACACAGACCCGGGGCTCAGGGTGACAATGAGGCCTCTATCGGCTTTAATCAGGCTCCAGTTGCATCTTAAGAACAGGGAGAATCTGTGTGGTGCTCAGAAGCCCTGGGTGGCACAATACGGAACCCCCGAGACTCTCACAGAGGCCAGCACGGCTGCAGGCGGTGGCTAAAGGATTTGTGAGGCCAGGGAGGGGGTGTGTGGGTCAGATGGGGGCCCTTTGTCCCTCAGGCCGCTTTAGAAGGCCGGGCTTGCCCTGAATGGCCGCCTGCCCGCCCGGCCTGGCCCATGAGTATCACAGACCTCTGGGTATTTAGGGAGGTGGCCTCCTCCTCTGCCTGCCAGCCTATTCATTGCCAGCCTAATTAGTTTTTGTCTGTGCTCCCCCCACTCCCCTGCAGACTGCGATTCCTACTGCAAGGCCTCCAAGGGGAAGCTGAAGATTAACATGAAAAAGTACTGCAAGAAGGACTATGGTGAGTGAGAGTCCCCTTGTCTGCTGGGAAGGACGGGAGGGGCCGTGTGACCAGTGCAACTGTGGGACTGGGGTGCAGGTGGCCCCCGGAGGATGTTGGTCGTGGCGCTCCTGTCACTGGTGGGAACTAGCTGGATGGATCCCATGTCGGGGAATTTCTCATCTTTTCCTCCTTGGTCCTCAGAGACAGGGGGTGAGAGGAGCCCAGCAGCCTGGCTTCTCCCCTTCCCTCACCCTGAGGCTGGCACACCCAGGCTGGCATCTGGACTTGACTCTGCCCCTGATGGGCTGTGAGGCCACAGACCAATGGCTTGACCTTGGTGGTCTTCTGTGTCTGTGTCATACCACGGGGATTTGACCTGAGTCCACATTGCTCAAAGGGAAGCCCTCTGGGCATCGGACAAGGGCTGGGAGCTCCCTGGTGCATTTCAAACGTTCCACCAGGCTGTCGCGGGGCTGGGAGTCTGTGCTGTAAACGGCTCACCACTCATTGCCATGCACCAGAAGATCCAGTGCTGGACCTATGGGGCAGACAGTCCTGGGGGCCACTTGCAGTGGTTGCCTGTCGCCTGTGACCTCTGACTCCCTTCCTGGGAAGGGTGTGTCCTGTCCCCTCCGTCTCACAGTGGCCATGGAGGGTGGAGGCAGTCTGGGAGCCTGCAGGAGGAGGGCCCTGCAGTGGCCAGCGGGCAGGTGTGTGTAAAGAGCTGGGCCAGTCGCAGGGGCTCTTCAGAATGGGAGACGCAAGCAGAAACCCCGAAAGCATTGTCCAGCTGGCCACTGGCAAGGACCCTGTATGCAGCCAGGGCATCCATGCGGGTGGCTGAGGCCCCCATCATAGGCCAGGAAGGAGCCCCAGGCCCAGGGATCCTGAATCCAGGCCTGGTTCTTTCTCTCATGGGGACTCTTCTTGAGCTGATGGGCCAGGAATTGAGCCTGGGGCTGGCCCCCGTCTTCTGGGCCCACGACAGTCCACATCTGCCCACCTCCCTCTGTCCTCCCCACCACGCCATCTGGACAGGGCCCATATTTCCTGTTCCATCTCCAACTGGCCCCAGGAGGTACGTCCTCCATTGTCCCAGCGGCCCTGCCAGCCCTAGCAGGTCCTGGCCTCCTCTGGGAAGTCAGCTCGACCTCTCTGTTCTGTTCAGCTTCCCAAGGCTGTCCTGATCATACACCTCTCAGGGGATCTGGGACAAGTCCCATTGCTTACCTGAGCCTCGGTTTCCTCATCCGTAAGATGGAGATGATGCCACCTGCTGAGTATATGGGGGAAGACACAGCACCCGTGCCTAACTGTCTCCCAGCAAAGAGTGACCTCTGTATGCAAAGGAAGCTAGTGGGGGAAGGGGAGGAAGGAGGGAGTGGCGGTGGAAGAAGTTGGGTGAGAAGCAAAGGCCACCTGTGGAGGAGGCCTCACCGCCCAGAATCTGAGCACCGTCCCTTCCCTGACCCCAAAGGGGTCTGGCAGTCCTGCCCATGGAGATCCTAACTGGGCCAGCTGCTCAAACAAGACCTAAGCTTTTCTTGCTTAGTAAGGATAGTAGTCAGGAACTTTTAACATAGTGAAATGAATGACAAGGCCCAAAGATATCCAAAGGAATTTGGAGAACTTCTAAAATGTTGTCTTTCATTGCGTGTGTGTATGTGAGTGAGAGTTCATACACACTCTCCACACACACCAAGACCCAGGTCATCCAGCCCCACTCCCCACAGGCCTCCTGGCCTCCTACAGGGTGAAGAGGAGCAGCTGGCAGGCATCATGCATCAATTCAGAAGCTGCCAGGCCATGGGCATCAACGTTCAAGGCCCTTCTGGGGTCCACAGTCAATTCCTAAAAGCTGTACTCATTGCAGGACAGTGAGGAAACTTCCAACTCCCAGGAGAAAATAAACCTGGATTTTGAAATCAAACTTCAAGTTACTTTAAGATAAAGGAAGTGCTGTCTCCAAGCCAAGAAGGAGGGACCCTGGGTTGTTCTGAAAGGAGCTAAGGCCGAGCGTGGTGGCTCATGCCTGTAATCCCAGCACTTCGGGAGGCTGAGGTGGGCAGATCACCTGAGGGTGGGTGTTTGAGACCAGCCTGGTCAACATGCTAAGACCTCGTCTCTACTAAAAGTACAAAAATTAGCTAGGCGTAGGGGCGCACACCTGTAACCCCAGCTACTCAGGAGGCTGAGGAAGGAGAATCCCTTGAACCTGGGAAGCAGCGGTTGCAGTGAGCCAAGATTGCACCACTGCACTCCAGCCTGGCCTGGGCGACAGAGTGAGACTCCATCTCAAAAAAACAGAAAGGAGCTCATTATGGCCCTGAGCTGCAAGGACTGCATCCTCCCAGCCCTAGGCCTTCAGTGTTCACTAGGGACTGCAAGGTGGCCCGTCAGTGGCCCTGCCAGCCCCAGCACCTCCTGGCCTCTTCTGGGAAGTCAGCCTCTCTGTTCTGTTCAGCTTCCCAAGGCTATCCTGATCATACACTTCTCAGGGGATCTGGGACGAGTCTTCCCAGCCTTGGGAAGCCCTGCCTGGTTGGGGAAGCCCTGCCTGGTTGTGGCCGCCCCAGGCAATTGGAGGCATCTCTCTTGGGGTGGGGCAGGGTGGGGTACTGCCTCAGGGTGCCATTGGACCCTCTGTTCGCTGACTCAGCCTTCCCTTTGCCCCACACCTGACTCCCCCATGGGTTATCAGTGAAGCAGGTGGCAGGAGCAGTGGGCCCCTCTCCACTCCCCTCGCCAGCCCTCCCGTGGGATGAGAACTTAGGCAGGAGGGCCCGAGGGTTTTGCTGCTTTCCTAGGCTTTGGACATGGGCACCACAGCACTGTATTCCTGGCAAAGCAGTGGGTTCAGAGGATTTACGGGTCGCAGAGGGAAAGCCCTGTGCCTCTCCTCCCCATCCTTCCCTGCACAAAGCCTAGGGGTAACCTCGGCAAGGAGGTAGGAGGGAAGGGGAGAGGAATAGGTGGGCTTGCTTAGGGGACAGATGGTTTGGATCGCCTATTTGGTTTGGTTTTAGTTTTGAAGGACCCTTTAAGCAGCGACATGGAGGAGAGGCAGCTAGGAGTAGGGAGGAAGGCACCCACCCACAGCCTCTGCTCTGTCTTTAAGTGAAATAATGAAAATGGGACTTGGAAAACTGCGCAAAGCCATTCCACGGGATTCTGTTTATTCAATCTGGTTTTCTGGTCTGGTGACTTTGTTCCTTCCAGTGAATTCTCCCTCCCCAGCAATATTCCAGGGGGCACCTTGACCCCTCAGAGCTCCCTTGGCCCCTTACCTCCTTTCTTCTGGCAGTTCCTCTCTGTCTGCTGAACCTGACACCCTACTTTCGTAGGAGGTTTCGAAGGAGGCCCTTAGGCCTTCCCTGCGCTCTGCCCTGTTGTGGCCACCCTGGGCAATGGGGGGCATCTCTCTTATATAACCTATGGGTTATCAGCGAAGCAGGTGGCAGGGACGGTGGGCTTTAGTTTGCACTTGTCATAGGCAGTGACATGGGCCTGACTGGGTGAGGGGACTTGTCTAGTCACCCAGCCAGGCGGTGGCCTGGCCTCCCACTCCTTCCTGAGCTTTTCCTTCCCATCGCAATTAGTCCAGAGAGCTGTGGGCCAGCCCCATGTACCCACATTTCAAGACCTTGTGGTGGTTACACGGATCCTGCCCCCACACCCACGGCACAGGCGCCTCACCCAGCTGTCCACATTTCTACTGCAAGACAAGGCTGAAGGAACAGCGGGGGGGGGGGGGGGGGGGCAATGAGATCCCCCAGGGAGCTGATAGGGGCTGGGGCTCTGGCACCCCAGCTTTCATGCCCTTCTCACCACGCTCCAAGCCTGTGGCCCTGCAACCAGGACTGACATTGTCCCTGTCATTCCTCAGCCCTGGTGGTGATGGGGTGTTTCTGGTTCTAGGACTGTTCCTTGGATTCTTATGGTCACTTAAAAGTGGGGAGTCCTCACCCCCAGCTCAGCCTGTGTGTTCAGGCAAGAGCAGGCCAAGAAAAGTATCTGGAACAGGATTGCATGGGCTTCTGCAGAGGGCTCAGTGGAGCCCTGCGGGGCGGGGGCGGGGGCCGTGCAGAGGGGCCTTGGGGAATGTGTTTGGTCAGAGGAGTGAGTGGCCCCACAGGGGCTGGTGGGGGTCCTGAGGACAATACCTGGCCCGTGAGTTCCTCTGAGGCTGGGGCGAGGCCTCTGGGTGGGCTCTGCTGGAGTCTTTGAAGATCTCCCATGTGCCTGTGTTGGGTCCCTGGCCCCCGCCCCCGAGGAGGTGTTTAAGGGGTGTCCCTCCCACGCAGACCTGTGCCAGCCCAGGGAGAAGGTAACCAGCAGTGGGAGGGCAGGAGAGAGCTGGCCTGGGGCTGAGAAAGCAGGGGAGGCCGCCAGGCTGGGCTGGCCAGGGCAGGGGCTGCGTAATCCCTGCTCTCTGGCTGACACCCGGCAGGGGGCCAATTAGGAAACACATTTCCTTCATCCAGGGCACTTGGATGTTCCAGAAGCCGCTAATTAGAACCTTGGGTTTGCTGCCCCTGATGGGTGAAGAGCAGGCCCGGCTGCCAGCAGCCCTGGACCCCCTTCCTCCTCCAGGCCTTGCCCTTGTGTGGCTGAAGAGTGCGGGTCTGGGGCTCCACAGACCTGGGCAGCAGCCTGCAGGTGGAAGGCTGGGGCGGTGGGGGCCGATGAGAAGGGGCTTGTGGGCTCAGGGTGCCGGCCCTGCCCCGTGTTCTCTTGGGCACACAATTAACAGTGATCCAGAGCCCAGCTCTGGTGGGCCTGGGGACACGAAGCAAGGCAAGGGATTGGGGTGGGACGGCTTCAGTGCCGAGGCCCTGCCATGCCACTCACATCGGAGGGATCGGAGGGACCACATGATTGAAGGGAGCTCTGGAGACACAGGTTCCTAATTTGCCAAGTGACTGTGGATAGGGAGCTTCGCTGCTGGGGCCTCGGTGTCCTCATCTGTCACATAGAGGTGTAGTTCAGAGCACATGATAGCCTTCTAAGTGAGACCC